TCCAGATGAACAGATTCAACTTTTGGAGATGTGTGTCTGATTGATGTGCTGCTGATATCAGACTGATATTTCCTTACATGTAACAAGTAACCCCTCTCAAATACCTAAATATACCACACCTGAGTGTACCTGCTGCTGAGCCTTGTTTCAGGTTCTCCGTTCCTTTCGTTTTTAGTCAGTACTGTAGGGAGCGGCACGAGGATTCCCATCCCTAATATTTAGTTCGGTATTGTACTAAAATATAGCATTACCCAGGGAGGTGTTACTGTAGTACGCTCAGCAATCACAGTACAGTGAATGAAGTCTTTAATTATTTATGAGATGAGCGGATAGAAGAAACAAATCTACAATCAGCCTCTAACTTCTGAGAGCAATTAATCGTTGTGATTTACTGCACGAGGGATGAGAACGTGATGTAACAGACCTGTCTGCTGTGACCGCGGGGAGGATATGAATTGCTGAATAATTATTTTAAAGTGAAACTGAATCGTGAACTGTGTCTGTGACATTTCATTAGAAACTGAAGTGGAAGGAAGAAAAACGGGAAATAAAGTGAAGTCTCCACAGGATGGGGTCACACTAACCGTATGCCCATGAATGGCAGTATTTGTACTCCAACTTTGTAATACGATACAAAGTTGTTCCAAGTCGTCTTATCAATGATGTGTTACATGACTATACTTGTCTGTAACAAATGACTGAAGCAAAATAAACACTCACCATCTGATGGTCGGTAACTCTGAGTTGTGTGAAGGTTGAAAGGTGAGATCAGCAGGATATGAGCATTACAAGGATAAACAGAACTCACATTTTCAATTCACTAGAAATAATACAAACCTCTCTCTTGCCACAATTTTCCCGAGTGTGTCCAGATGGAAACGCCACCGTCTGTCCTCCTCCTCTTCTGGCGGCGTGGCCTCCATCTCGGCTGCGGGTGCAAGTGGCTTGGCATCGCTGCGGCCGCGGACCCAACGACTCAAAGTTCAGTGTCTTGTTCTCGAACGCTCCCTCGACATTGCAGAACATCCCGCCGTACTTCATCCGAGGTCGAGGAGAGTCCGACCCGAGCCGCGAAAGGAGAGAAGAGCAGTCGTCCTCCGGGGAGCACCTCCTCTCAGACATCCTGGAGAGATGTGACCTGATCAGAAACAAGAGCAAGAGAAGAAAAGGAGGAGGAGGCGGGGAGGATGAAGATCTCAGACGATAAACGAACCGACAGGATGAGGAGGAGGTGGAGGAGGAAGAAGGGAAGAAAGGAGGTCATGGGCCCAAACTAAGATTAAGAGGGAGGAGGAGGAGAACACAAACCTTCAACCAATCAGATTCACAGGTCTGTCCTTTGTCTCCTTTTCTCTCTCAGGAGTTTTTATTGCTCAGCATACCCTCACACCTCCTCACTCACTATCTCTGACTTTATCAGCTTTGAATCAGACGAAGGT